TATGATCTCTCCAAAAGTTCATATCAGCATCTCAGATACGAAGAGCAGCTAGTAATTTTCATCATCAGATCAGCAGCCGGGACTAAAGTGCTCCCTTTGTCTTTTGATGCGGTTCTGTCAAGAAGGAAGATATAGACCGAGGTCACCGTAGACAATTCGTAACACCACCGTGTAGACTATTCCCAGAAGGTTCAATACGGTAATGCCCGGATAAATGAAGCAATCCTCATGGTCTGTGTTCTTGAACAGAGGTACTACAATCGCTGTCCTCCAGTCCACTGGTGTCTTCCCGGTAGCTATCATAGTTTGACAAATATGAGTAAACCAACACATGCCTTGTTTGCCTAAAGCATTAAATTTTGATGTTATGAACTTTTATCTTTCGTCTATTAACATAAGTACAGAATTTAGGGCAGTCCTGACAGTTATCTGAAAAATCTTTAGTAGAGGTACGGCTAACAGAAACGACAACAAATTCAATGCTCACACTGTGAAGAGTCGACCATCGCCAATACCGTTGTGCCGACGTAAATCAAAGCCATGGTCATCAGACATGCCAGCACCTTTTTGCGTAGTCCACTTCTGAAAACCTCATTGATCATAGACTGAGTAAGAATAAAACAAGGGTACAGAAACAGCCACCGCACTACAGCTGAAACTCACCCCTTTTTTGAAAATATGTTGATAATGTTGAACAGCAGATTCGGCGTCTGAGAACAGACAGCAACGTACCACAGGAATTCCTTGTCATAACCACTTCCTGCCAGTTTGTGCTTTGTGAAATACTGAAAAGTACAACATACGCTTTATATGCAGACACTTTACGATAAGCCACAAAATATGGCTTACCGCCTCAGCCGTAATGAACAGGTTCCACGGCAACAACATGCCCACACCATGGAGCAAAAAACAAAGGTAAACAAGATTAAACCTAAAATATTATGCATTAAAATTTAACGATCATTTAGTGACTGTCACTGCTTAACCTGTCCTTGATACCGACGTCGTATTTCATTCCTGCACCCTTCTTTTCGTTGTTTAGCAACGCTTCGCTTTCCAAAGTAAACGTGTTGGGGGTCGCTGAAAATATGGCTCACAAAATTTGCAATATTCATAACGAATTTCAAACGTAATTTCCATTTCAGGGCAAAACTTTTGATTACTCAAAAGAGAAGAGGGTTTAAGATGAGAAATTAAAACGCAACACCATGTCAGCACGGGCACTCTGACCGTTTGTGAACACATCCTCAAAACTCCTAAAAGTTTTGCTCCACCTCATAAGAACAATACAGCATTTAACCGCGCTTCTAAACTGTCTTGGTTTTTTTTGAAATTCGTCAGAATTTATGTCCCCACTTTCACAATCCCTGTTAACAGTGTCACCTTCTATTTGGCCTGAATGAACTTCTAATATTCATTCAACAAGAAAACGTGACAGTTAATAGTTACTAAGTTGCGAACTTCGATGTACTTAATAATCGCTGAGTACACTGCTCAGGGAAACCTGAGGTCTGCGTTAAGTACTTCTCTTTTCTCTATATATCCCAACTTTTGGAACATTCATCAATATTCCAATTCTCTAAGCGTTAAGCAAATAATTTACATGAATGAACAGCCAACCGAATTCCTTATGAAATTTGTTTCCAACGATAAACAATTTCGCTCATGTGCTGGTGGCCATACTGAAAAACAGCATAGAAACTGCTTATTTATGCACAAAAAAATAATGTAAATTTAATGCGTTATTAAGTAATTTTCAAAAATAACTACTAGGTAGCTGGATAAATCACCGCTCAAGTGCAGGAAATTAGAGAAAGAAGGAACACCGAGAACAAAGACTACCTTTTCAGCTGGAAAAAATGGATGATCGCTGATGAACCTCCTGGACTGTGCAACACGCGGCACAAAAAGATAATTCTACCTCCCCCATGGTTATAATGTGTTGGCAAGAATGATACTGACTGTACCGGTCTGTTAAGGAGGCATTAATAACTCGATGTTAACAATGTTAACCTGATAAACGATACGAATTCTGTGAGTACCGGTTGAGAATTGTCGCCTTTGTAGCTAAGGAACTATTTAACAGGCAGCACAGACCAAAAGCTTACCTTCTTGCTCTAAAGCTACCAATGTCCCACCTTGAAGAAGACTCGTGAAACGGGGCTGAGGTTTCACATCAATGTATCTTCTGATTCAAGCGTCAGCTATGGAATAACCATTCAAAACATAATCAATTTGTTAGGTGTAAAACGACCGACGTTAGATATCGATCAGGGGGTCAGCATGCAGCACTGATGACAGAAGAGCAGGCAGGTATGTGTTAAGCGACGAAGAGCTGTTCCTTCTGCAATGCAGCTACCGCTGCCTTGTAGCAAGCCTTACTGAACACGTGAAAAAGCCGCGGGCATGTTCTATGAAACGACTCACAGCGATGATTACAACAAACAAGTTTTGTGAGAAACAGACCGGAACGTCAATCGCGGTTTATTCTCTACTGAATTTAAGACACAAGCCACATGCAACACAGACAGTGCCAAACAGTCTTCGAATTCAGGAACTACAACTTTTCTTCCTAACATCTAATTCGGAAATCGCCTCACTTTGATCTGGATAACGGATAACCAGTCTAGACAACAAGCCGCTGATATGATCCGCGAATAACCGAGATAGCAAAATAGTTTGACTTAGCCAGGTAACAGCCCACAGAAAACAGTAATACTGCAAAATGAACGTGCTCTACATGCTTTCATGATTTCAATGCGACTGATCCAGCTGCTACCACCTCAGGATACAGTGTCAATGACATCTCTCTAATGCCGGATGCGTCGGGTTCGATTCCAAAGGAAGGACAGTCATTGTCGTAATCACGAATTCCCTTGAAGACGGAATTTACCTCATGTTTGCTGTTCATGAAGATCTTGTGGATGATTGGTAAGAAACTAGTGATCCCTGTGAAATGATTCCGGAGAATCCTTGATTTTTCAAATCCTTATAGTGTGCCTGTTTGTGGAGTAGAGTCACCAATGCAGCAGTCCAATCACCTGGAATAATTAGTTCCTTCAGACAAGCGCACTAATACCACTGTGTCAATGTTTCACTTCTTGATTCCATCGATTTCACTGTAACACCGTCTTCGCCAAGAGCAATTCCTCCCTGTGACGGTCTTATTGCATGTCGCACTTCTGACAAGATACTTAAAAATTCGTCAGCTTCATCCGTATCGTCATTTTCCTCGCCGTCACAGAAAACGGATCAACGTGTGGACGTTCTGGTAAAAGGAATTACTGAAAACAACCGAAGCCGCAAGAAACGGGCGGGAAAGTGACAAATTTTTGCTGTCAAAGCATAGAAAAATGATTCCAAAGACAGTGGAAGACTTTCATGGAAAATTATAAGAGTAAGACAGCAATACCCTTCATGCAGCCCCTATATTTTGGTAATCCGAAACCATGATGCATTCCTTTGGTCTTGTTTTTTGATTTTTCCGGAGTGACTGATTCGAAAATCTTTTCATTAGGCCATTTGGTCTCCGTATGGACTAAGTCTTACTGTATGAATGATTCGTGATTCTTTAGTATGATGAAATTCGCAGAGCCCTTCTCATCTGTTCTGCTGAAATAAGCCGTGTTCACTGATCTGCCTATTCAGCAATCAACCAGTATTTCGAGTGTAGCTTCTTCACATGAACAGCTTACTGGATATACAGTCTCGATAACCTTTCGATTGAATATAATGCTTTTGTTTTACAGGAGACTGCAAGCTTGTTTTTGGATTTGCTTCTCTTCAATCTTTGTTTTGCGCCTGAATATCACTGAAAACAACTGTTTCATAAACCTTTCCTCATGCTGTTTCAGAATGACAATCAGCAGATGAATAAGACAATCGTTCAATCTTCGTATCAATAAATATTGAATAAATATGCGCGAATCAACAACAACGACATAACACTGATTAACCAGTGGCTTCCTACCGGCATTGTTGTTGCTTTCCATCTCTTGTGTGATCGAATGATACTCCAACAGTCTTGGCTTCGAGTCCTGGCCTGGATACTCAGCCATTGGCGAACTTGATGGTAACAACAACTGCGCGCTGAAAGGCGGCGTGCAGTTTCGCGATGTCGGCCAGGCGATTACTACGGACCACGGCTGAAAGTAAAACGAATATTTCAGTTACATTCACAGAGAAAGACATTCGCGAAAACGCGAAAAACATTTTGAATAAAAAAACATTTTTTTCTTTGAAATAATATATTTAAAAAATTGACATTTGTTTCAAAACACTTCACACTGACAGCTGCGACAGTCCACATGTAGTAAGAGAAAAAGAAAGTAACGCCTGTAATCGCTTCAATGAAGGTCTTAAACTTCTATGATGTTAATATTTCTGGAGCGTACATGAAATTATATGAAGTTAACGGTGTGTGATCCCAAGCTTCCTTCCCCAGAGTAGTACTCATTTATCAACCTCGGAAGGAAGGCAAATTACCTGGCTGAACCTCGAAACCCGAACCTCTCGGTCCGCATACAGAACGGCAAAAGGGCGGAGCGAGAACATAACGACTGACTTACTGGACAGAGTTACAAACGAGTCACAGGTGGCACAAATAGATTCTCAAAAATTCGAAGTTCAACAACTTTA